TATTCCACGTTTCGATCTTTCGATGAAAATTGGAGGGGAACCGTTTTTTTGAAAAAAAGAGAAGAGAAAAAGCGGCGAGTCGTGGGCGGATTTATCTGTTGTCCCTGAGGTCACTGGACGACAAAGACGTGGGAGGATGCTCGAGATTAATTCGATCGGAGATAAGAGAACGTTTCTCTTCGATTTGGGGGAGGGGAGGGGATTCAAGAATTTTTTTGAAATTTTGTGACACATATAAATAAATAAATTTTGGATTGGCGAGGAGATATTGTTGGGGTTATTGAGTTAGATGGAAGAAGAATCAGGGGAATATTCGATTTAGCACGCTTTGAGGATCTGGTTTTCTGGTTGAAAAGGCGAAAGAGGACGAAACGCCGTTATATTATGCGCAGTTGGTGGGGCCTTTCTTTCGAAGAATGAGTCACGTGTTTGTATCCTTTCGAAAATATTAACTTTTCGACGATTCGATCGAATATATTCTTGTTCTTGTTCGCGAAATTCGCGAAGAAAATGATCGAAGAAAATACGAGCGAGGGGAAAAGTATAAATACTTGATAAAGCGTATTCTTGATAAGTTTTTTCTTCTTTTAAAAAAAAAATTTATAATTAACAATCTTGTTGCGATAATAACCTTGGACGAAATCTTACCTTGAAAGAAAATTAGAAAAAAAGTTTCACTTCTCGATATTCCCGAAGAAACGAAACTGAAGTTTTATTTCTCCCGTCGTTTATATGCGGTTTTATGAATTGATTGATAAAAATTTGATAATGATATCGATTTTTTTTCCTTCTTTTTTTTTTTTTTTTTTTTTTTTTTTTGTTTCGAATCGTTACAAAACAATTAGAGATTAAAGGGACCACTTGTGTAGAAATCGATGATATCAATTACGTGTCAAACGTCGTGCAAGATCGTATAGATAAGTAAATGGTTTTACAGTCAAATGTACGTACATCACCTTCTCTCTTTATCATTTCTCCTCTCCGTTGTTCAATCGTTTGTTTCTTCAACAAAAATTTTTTTTTTTTACGTTCAACTAAAAAATTCATAGATCTTGGATTCAAATATAAAATAATAATTTCTTTTTATTATTATTATTATTATTATTGTTAAAATATTCCACTTTATCGAAGATAAAGAAAAATTTAAAATTAAAAAACCTCGTTCGAAATGGAGAGAACACGTTTCGTTTATTTAAATCTTTTCCTCCCGTTTCTTATTATTTTAAGACGTTTACAAGTATTTTTCTTACGTTCAACTTTTTTTCCTTCACACACGTGCTCCACGTGTACGCCATATGCCATATGCTATTTAATCGTGGGAGATAAACTGTACATTTTCACACGTATCCTTGTATATCTGTTGATTAAAAATCTACGATTCATTCTGAACATTTCTATATCTGTTTCTGCTTCTTTTTTCTTTCTTTCTTTCTTTTTTTTTTTTTTTTTTTTTTTTTCTTATCAATACGAGAATCCTTGCACGTATTATTTATTTTTACGATTTATCAATAGAGAAAACTTATTAAGTTTTATAAATCTTATCGTCGTGAATATATATATATACTCCTGTGACGACTGAGATATTAACAATAAGAATTATTATCTAAGGGAAAATCCGAGATCGACGAATTTTTCTTCCTTCCTCCTCGCGCGATAAATTATTTTATTCTTGGCTCGATCGGTAAATCAGAATTTTCGATAAATCGGAATTTCATTGCGGATTTTTTGCGGAAAAATATTTTTTTTTTTCGCTTCGAACGTTGGAAGAGAAAACGAGACAATTTCATATATAAGAAATAAGGGCGATTCTTTTTTCGTTTCGAGATATGTAATTAACGAATGGTTGAAACGGAAATTTGTGCGTAAATAAAACAAACGTAAAAATGATATTTATTACCACATGTAATATATTCCACGAGATATTGTTAATTGTGTATCGTACAATTGATAGAATTGATATTGTCAATTCATTACGATTACCTGTTCGAGTATCTTTATCGTTATCTCGATCTGAATAAAGTTATTAATAAAATAGAAGGAAAAAATTTAAATGCCACTTTAAAATCCAATCTTTAAAATTAATCTTTTTTTTTTACTCGAATTTTCCAATAATCCAGAAAGCAGAAATATTTTTTAAAGAGTGAAGGATATTCTTCTCAAACGATCAAATAAATTTTTATCCATTATTTAATTATTCGAAATTCTTACCCAATTTCACCGTGCCCCGATCCCCCTCATTTTTCTTAATCCTCTCCTCGATCACCCCCTTGTTTCAATTTTTCCGCCGATCACATGTTTTCACTTCCGCCTTTCCAATCCGCCCGATACGTTTCGGATTATTTTCTGTGGCAGCGAAAATTCCGTGCATCCAGAGAATGCGAATAAAAAAATCTATCTTCTCAAATATCTCCTCTGGTTATAAACTTTTCCAAAAATTATTATCCTCTTCTATAGTTGGGATTTTGAAAAAGAATTCGTTTTATCTTCAAGACCTCTTGATCACCGCTTTACGCTATTTTCAATATTCTAATTCTTCGTGTTAATTATAATTCAAATTATGGAGATTTAATAAAACAAAAGAGAAGAAGTGGATTCGATCGAATTTATAAATTAATTGCAGATTTGAACGATCGAGGGAGACACATCGTTCGAAAATGATTATCAAATAAAATACAAAAGAACGTAATGATATATTAGAATATACACTTTTCAAATTATTATTAATCCAATCCAAACATAATCCGATAATTTCGATTTCAATTTTCGTGATAATAAAAAAAGAAGTGTATATACACATGTAACCCGTTGAAATAAGATTCAATCAGCTGTCGTGGTTACGAGACACCGATATTTCGAGATTTCAAAATTCGCGCCGAAACGGAAGAGCAACCGCGGCTCTAAAAATTACTAATCGAAAAATTTGAAATCGAGTATGAAGAAAGAGAACAACTCGCAAAACTTGCTCGTTCGGAATCGAACACTCGAATCACTGAATCGAGAGGTTTCACTCTCGCCCGATTCTGTTCTGTCGAAAGTGGGACCTTAATTGAGCGGGCTCACCGTTGGAAAATTGTTTTCACGGAGCACACGGAGGAAAGTTGAATCCGTTGCGCTTGTGAAACGTAATGTAGTAGGGACCATAATGGTTATGGAGGTTTCAACAGGTGGAAGAATCGCTTTGCTCGGAACTCGGTGAAGTGAATTCTATTTCTAGCCACTGTGAACGGAGAGAATTTGCTGATTTTGTTGCCTCGTTTCTTTTTTTTTTTTTTTTTTTTTTTTTTTTTT